TCAATCAAAATATGTCTCATCACACGCGTTACATACGAGCATCACATGTTAATGACATCTGTAATGAGAAAACACAGATATAAACAATATATCCACAATCACGGTAGGCCCAAAGCTAAGCATCATCCCTCCGCAGTACGCATTTGTCGTCACGGTGCAAGTGTTAATAAAGAGATTTTGTCAAACGTAACTCGTGTTTAATTGCCGTCAGGGCGGTTTGACTGAATCCGTCCTTCAGCATCTGCATTGCTGAGCTTCTCTCCCCCTCTTTTTCTTCATCGCCGTCTCATATCTTTCCCCCTACTGCACCCATCGAATTGGCACCAAACCCTTCAAGATGTCCCCAGCAGGCTCTTGCTTCGCTGGCCGCGTAGTAGACTGTGTGGTTTCCTTTAAACAGCTGTAATTTGTATTTCCAATCACTGTGCTGATTTCTGCTCATTATATTGCTGTTTCACACCGGTAAGTGAGCAAAAGTTTGGATTGATTGACTCTAATTAACTAAAAAACGTTCCGAGCCAGGGGTTTATTACCATGCTAGCTAGCCACAAATGTCAGAGACTTTCACAAATTATTATCCTGTTAAGATGAATGTGTGGGGAGGCAGGGAAGTGTGGAGACAAAGAGAACATATATTATTTTCATGACGAATTTGTTTATCGCTCTTCTTTTTTTTTCAGGTGTCTTATTTTCCAATTAAACACACACAGACTCAGCATCTGTACACATTTCAAGGGTTGTCATCGCATGGTGTTGCAGTGTGAAGCCTGCATGAGTACATCTATGTATGTCTTGTAATTATGATCTCTTTGTTGTTGACTTGGCCATCAGAATATTATAAATTGGACACTACAAAGTCAAGCTTTAATCGTGCATTCAATCCGATTTGACTTAAAAGCGAAGTGTGTAATTTCTGCACCACTAGCGTCGCCAAATGGAATTGCAATATTTTTGTTTTCCAACACTTTTCTCAACTTTCTCAATGCCAATGGCTGACTTACAGTTCATTACACAGAAAATATTACACATTATATCTTTAACTGACTTCAAATCCAATCACAACGCCTATATAACTTTTCAATTCGTCTTCATTTCGGCTTACGAAAGCTAGTAAAGTGAGTGTACAATACAGCATCTGTGTGTATGCGTATGTGTAATAGAGTCGTCTGGCGGTTGCTAACCCTTTGTAAGGTTTGATGCATGTTTCTGTTGAAATTAATGGCAGTGGTGTTTCCTGGCCTGGTGTCATTTATTTCACAGGATTGATTGGAGGCTGGAAGAGCAGACAAATGTGTTTGGGAAGTGTTCTAATTTAAAATATGGCTGCCTGACCTGAAAGAGAAAGCTTAGAGACAATCCATCCTTCAAAGACATGACCTGGGTGTCCGAGATGCCAACAAAGTTTAGTGTGCAAACAGTTATGTATGAATATATTCTCAATATGCAGTCATGTGTTGCTGTCATACCTAAATTTGGCATGGCTGCTCTACCAAAGCTTAGACTAGACGAAAGCAAAAATCAGCGTGTGATACAGAGCAAACCACAGTGTGTTTCATTAGTGGGGACTACTGGAGCAATCTTTGAGGGGCCCATTGCAATCAAAGATTGCTCCAGTTGTATTTGTATGTATCTCTAAAATAATATATAAAAATATGTCAAATAATAAGAAATGTATGATTATTACAAATAAAAATACTACTAATAAAAATTGTAATATTTATTAAACATTGACATTTTATCTGACTGTTTTTAAACAAGTTTCAAATATATTACTATTATTTAGTAATAATAATAATAATAGCAACAACAACAACAACATATTAAAAATTGACATCCTCATCAGTCTGATTAACTACTTAAAAAGCTTCAAATAAATTAATAATAATAATAAATGATGACTGTTTTTACACAAGTTTCTAATACATGATTGTATATTATATTTCATAATAATTATTTTTTTTAACATTGGCTTTTTTTGTCAGACTTTAATAACTGTTGTCAAACAAGTTTCAAATAAATTATTATTATTAAAATGAAAATTTTGTCATCACTTACTTACCCTCATGTTGTTCCAAACCTGTATGAATTCCTTTCTTCTGTAAGCAGTTTCTGGTCCCCATTGACTTCCATAGTATTTTTTTTTCTTCCATATATGGAAGTCAATAGCTAACAGCAACGGTTTGGTTACCAACATTCTTCAAAATATCTTTATTTATTATTATACTTTTTTTCTTTTGGTGTGTGTTCAACAGAAGAAAGAAACTTGTACAGGTTTGGAACAACTTGAGTGAGTAATTCATGATAGAATTTTCATTTTGGGTGAACTATGCATTTAAATAATAATGAAATAATAATAATAATAATAATATAATTAAACAACAATACATAAATAAACAATATAACATTACTGTGAATATTACCATCAACACAATAAATAAATCTTCCATCAAGTAATAACGTTTATTAGCCTAATTGTAGTCGATTTACAGTTGCCAAGCAAAATATCAATCAAAGTTCATTCAATAAACGAATGATTGCTGCATTAATATAAAATTCAACTGGTGTGTGTTCAACTGGTGGGCATATCACGGGTGGATATATACATAATATCATCTTATGCCACATTTATACGGTGTCTAGACAGTGTTAGTGCTAGACTAGTTAGTTAGTGCTGTTCTGCTGATCACAGGAAGTAAGAGTCCAGCTGCTGCTTGCTATTATCCACTGCAAATGCAGAAGAGCGGGAAACACATCCACTCTGGCAGTCTCAAAGGCGCCAAAGGATCTCTTTCACTGAGTTTCAAGAGAAATAGTATGTCTCTCAGTCATCCATTACGTTCTCTGTCTGTATTCTCTGTTAAAAAAGTTTTATTGCTGTCATGGGAGTATGTATGCTTCTGGGCCCATTCATTCATGTCAAATGAATCTATAACACTTTGCAGGAATATATGTCATTTCCACCTCTACATAATCTCCCAAAAATGTCACAGGTATACACACTTAAAAATATAGCTTCAATTCTTAAATGCAGCTTCTAAATTCTTATTAAGAACTGTTTTTAATGTATGCGGTTCTTAAATTGCTATATGGTCCTTAAGAGTTCCTGATTGGTTCATTAGTGGTTCTAATTAAAACTTTTATTTTCAAAAGTATATTTAGAAGTTTAAAAAGTAAGTTTTTGCCATGACTTTGATCGATTTTGGGTTATCGATCAAAAAGCAAAAAACAACAACAACTAGGGTTATGCATTAACTGAAATATAAAATAAAATAATAATAATGCTAAAGAAAAAATATATATAAATTACACTTATTAATAAAGAATATTATATATATATATTAGGGCTGTCAGTCGATTAAAATTTGTAATCTAATTAACTACATGATGTTTTGAGTAATTAATCAAATTAATCGCAAAATAAATTTGACTGTGAAAATACCCACAAAAGATTATTTAAAGCTATTTTTGTGTTAAATGCGAAAGTATAAAGTAGACATTACAAATTGTAGCTTTAGAAAGAAATATTTTATTTGATTCAACAAAATTTATTACACATAAACATTTAGGCTACAACGGCCTAACATATACTATGGAACATAAAAGAAGATAATTTGAGAAACATCTCAGTATTTTTTGTTCATACAATGAAAGCCATTGATAACCAAAACAGCTTAGTTACCAACAGTCTTCAAAATACCTTATTTATGTTCCACAAAAGAAAGGTTTGAAACGACATGAGGGTGAGTAAATGATGACAGAATTAAACATTTTTGGGTGAAATATCCTTTTAATGTGTTTATTTTATTATTATTATTTATTTATTTATTTGTATTATTAATTAATACTTTTTTTTAATGAAATGATACTCTAAATAAGAAACTAAATCTGCCAGCAGGTGGCGGTAAATGTCTTTATGAGTCATTGATTTTTTAGATTCGTTCAAACGGCTGATTCATTCAGGAATGAAGTAAATGGCTCTCTTAATAGGCCTTTGAATCACTGGTTCACACGATTCTTTCAAAACGCAGATTCATTCTGAAACTAAACACCGCTGTGTTGCTCGGAGATGCACAACAGTTCTGCTAGGGCTTTATGTTCTCTGCAAAATTGTGCAAAAACATAATATTGTGTTCAAATTATAACACAATATCAACTTCTTATATACTGAACTGTTGTATAAAATCTCATTTAAACTCATGATATTCGGAACAAAATCAGCACTCGTGTAATACTGCTCTCCCTGCTGGTGTGATATCGTATGATATAAATATGAGACAAAAACTCATACAGAGGCATATTTTTGCACTAATATGTTTCATTTTAGGGCATAACTGCATTTATGGAGTTGTTGCCCAGCATCATATTTGTCAACAGTCAACTGTATGAAATGTAAGATGACGTACAGGTCTGGGGGCGGGGCCAATGTTCTTAACTGCGTTCAAATATTTTAATCGCGTTATTTTTTATATACAGTATATAAACTACACTTATTTTATTTTATCTACTTTTCCAAGGCCTTTACTCCATTTTAAATTTTTGTTTAGTTTAAATGCTAAAATAACTACCTAAACTAACTAAAAACTATAGACATATTTAAAAAATATAATAATATAAAATGACAACAAAAAACATTTCTAAAACTTTAAAATGGAAACTGAAAATATAAAAATACAATTCCAAATTAAAAACTAAAATAATAATGATTAATACAGCATTTATTAGTCTTCGTTAATGTTCTTAATGTTAACATCTTTTAAAAAATATATTACTAAATGTTGAACTTAAGATTGACAAAATTTGAAAATTAGATTGACAAATGCATGCATTGTTCATTGTTAATCAATATTAATGATCTAAGACTGTATTGTAAAATTTAACCCAACAATTTAACAGATAATCGTTTAATATTATCTGTTAATAATAGATAACAGTTTAATTGGGTTTAATTCCAATTAAACCAAATATTCCAAAAAGCATGTCACTTTCTAATGTCTTTGCTTGACTATAATAGTTTCAGTCAATCGTAACTGACATTTCATTAACAATTTTGTTATTTGACATCTCACCAGAGGAGGCACGACAAGGCGCGAGGGTAAAATAAATAAATAAATATAAAAGTTAAAAGGCACATATAAACAAAAACATCAAAATGAGAACTCATTTTTGTAAATGAAACCTATTTGTCGATAGAGCACATCAGTCTTGTGAAGCGGGGTAAATTAGAAGGCTTGCGTTTCCGTGGGGTTGTGCAGAATGCCAGTGGGTAGCGTTCACACAACATCCCTCTGTGCATACTATTTACCCCTGGATTGCTTCAGGCTAATGTCTCAATAATTTTCCCTCTTTTTTTTTTTTTCGCAGGTCCTTCCCACAAAGGACTTGACTAATGATCCATGGACAAAATGAAGCATTCAAATTTATTCATTAATCATTCATCTCCAGCTCATTGAAAATGCTAAACTTCCACAAAATTAAGATTGAATATTGAAAAGTGATTGAGGGAGACAGCTCTCTGAGGAGACAGGAAAAGAGAGGATAAACAAGCAAGAAAAGGAGGAAAAAAATGACAAAGGACGCAGAGCGAGAGGCGGTCGAGACCAACCCCAGCCTGGTTAGGGTTACGCAGGTATACTATCCGCTAGTTAAGGTCAGAGGGGTTTAAGTAGGTGTAATTAGATCCAAGAATCTAGAGAAGCGTAGAATTTCTGTCAACACAGCCCCCTAATTATTCTCTTTTCCAATTAATGGTGACATAGATTAATTATCTGATGAGGCAAAGCCAATTGCAATCATTCACCCAGCTAAAATTAGATCATTCCTGACAGTAGCATGAAAGTCACCTGCTTCATTGTTATGGATTGGGCCGTGAGCGTTTGGACAGGGGAGAGAGTGAAGCATGCTGGGGGTTTAAGTAAGTTGTCTGGCGCAGGTGAGCGTCCAATTACTCCGCTATCTGAACTGTAGGCGTCTTCCTGCTCCATCCGTCGGCATCTGCGACGGGTCTGTTTGCTTGCTGCGGGACATGGCTGCTAGTTGAGTCATCTGTCAGCGAGAGCAGGAACTCAGAGAGGCGCTGGATTGCGTTTGACATCTCCTCCTGTTTAAATAGGCAAGCGAATGGTATCAATGAGCGCTGGCTAATTCACTACAAAAACCTGTAGTGGAGCCGGAGCCCGCAACAGATCGACGTCCACGTTCCCTGCCGGAAAGGCCAGTATAGCTGGTCACCGGCGTATGTTGTGTTAACTAACCAGCTAGACTTTCTTGGTGGCACAAGTGCTAGTCTAGCATTTCCATTCAAATATATAAACACTACAGATTAAAAGTTTGGTTGTCAGTATGATTTGGGATAAAGATGTTTAGAATGTTTCAAAAATGCTGTTCTTTTGAACTATTCATGAAAGAATCCTGAGAAAAAGTTTAATTTTCCACAAAAATATGATGCAGCATAACTGTTTTCACCATTAAAAACATTTAATGTTAAATGAAATGTTGAACTTATGTTTTTCGAGCACCAAATCAGCATATTAGACTGAAAAAATCTGGTGTCGAAACAGATTTCTAGGGGTGTCCCCGACTAAGAATTTACATAGTCGAATTGGAATTTTCGAATCTTGCTGATAGTCGAATCATATGTTTGGGGGCGGGGGGCAAAATATATTACCAAGAGTCAAGTCAGACATTCGAAAGTCATAATTACTGACGTTAACACAGGGAAAATGTGCAACGGACGCCTCGCAGATACAAAAATAATGTTTTACGTTTTGATTAAAAGTTAGTTAACATTAAATGTCAGCGAAACCCTAAGAATTCACAATTTTTTTTACAATAGTACTCACATTATAACGTTATGTATATGACAGTAGTTATTAATGTTCTGCATTTGTTTTGAGCTGCTCGCGCTGAAGATGACCAGTAGAATGAAGCATCTAATAGCAGGTTTTTAATCAATGGGATTTAACTCATTTATCTCATATAGAATACGTCTCGTTATTTATACAACATTACGTTAATATTACGACTTATAGGCTATCTGCACAAAATGCCCCGAATGCACGAACGTTTCTGCGCGGCTCTGAATGAACTCCTTTTGTGGACGCGTTCTTCATGCAACAACGTGCAAAAACACGGCAACTAAACTGTAAAAATTCACAGCGTTTTATTATAATAGTGTTCTAATTATAATGTTATGCATTTGACAGTCCCAGGCATAGTTATTAATATTCTGCATTGTTGTTTGTACTGCTCGCGCTGCGCGATGAAGAGACAATCACCGTAGTACTACAATGAAGCGTTTTACTGCAGCGCAGCTCAACCAAATGCATCTTATACGAGATAAATAATATATACACAATATATATAAACAGGCTGAAATGTTTTGAAATCACTTGTACCCTACCTGATCGAAAAAATCCAGTCTTTCACTCTGCCTGTGTCAATTTGAGTTTTGTTATTCTCCTGTCAGTCACGAATTATGGAAAGTGAAACTTAAAGGGGGTCATATGATGCTATTTTAAAGATCATTATTTTGTGTATTTGGTGTAACAGAACATGTTGACATGCTTTAATGTTCAAAAACACATTATTTTTCAAATACTGTACATTATTGTAGGTCCTCTTTGCCCCACCAATATCTCTTTGGATTTGAAACTTTAGTCTTTGCAACTTTACAGATCTTTTTTATACACCAAGAGCTTGTAACACTTGGAAAAATTGAAATCGCATCATATGACCCCTTTAAATCTATAGGGGTGGTTGGATTTATTCACGCACGTTAAAATATTTATTTGAAGCTACTTTCTTTTCAGATTCTTATTTACAGCATTATCTTAATAGGCTGTATATTAACTTATAGGGAGAAAACCGGTAGTTCTATGTGAAATCAGACATTTGAGCACTCCCATATAGCCAAAATGGCATGATCGTAACACCCCGTGAATATTGGACTGTGAGATTGGTAGTCGAATCAGGCTCCTCCTATCGAAGCATCGAATTTTCGACTATTTGGGGTCACCCCTACAAATTTCACACATACATTTCACAATTAATAACAAAGAAAGGCAAATAACACATTGAATTAAACACATTTTGAAGCAGAAAGACTGAAATCGCATTTTCTTGTAAAATGTACTCCAATAATGTTATATTTACAACCCTAAAACAACAACCCTTTTTACAGTGTAGAATGATTTCTGAAGGATCATGTGATGCTGAAGACTGGAGTAATGGCTGGTGAAAATTCAGCTTTGCATCACAGAAATCGATTACATTTCAAACTGTATTCCAATAGAAAACTATTTTATATTGTAAAAATATTTCAGAATATTTCTGTTTTTACTGTATTTTTGATCAAATAAATTCTTACTGACCCCAAACTTTTGAAAAGTATTAAGACATATATAATGTTCTACTAAAACATAATATTAAAATATAAAATATATTAGCCTACATTTTGTTCAGTCCAAATACACAGATACTTTTGAACGGTCGTCACTGGAGAAAGATGCTTTTTATCTGTAAATCAGTTTAGTTATGGCATTTTATTAGTCGAACTTTGTTCCATTTCCTGAATCGCAAGAGCGACACTGACATTTGAGACACTTTTAGTTCGTAAGACATACGATTGAGAAAGACAAAACAAAGGAACGAGAAAGACGGTGTGTGCCACACTCCTGGTGAACCGAGCACATGGGTTCAGTGCATGCCTGTTTTAAAAAACCTCAGCAACCAGTTTTTCTATTAAACTGCCTTGCACTGTCAACCAGCTTGGGAACTGAGCTGGCCTAGCCATGCAGAAATTTTCTGACTAACAATTATATCAGAAACAAGATCTTGGATTACGGTCCCCCGAGAGCAGCGCAATGGGCGTTCGCTCCAATTATTACTGGCCATTCACAACTCTCCACCCTGCTCTCTGTTGTTAGCAATTGTCAATTACGCTATCCCTGGTGTAAACTTGCATAACCCGGAACTGAGTGCCCAATCTTGCAGCGGCGTTTCGAGATGACAGGCTTGTACGCTTTCTGTATTTCGTTTTACTCTTCCCCCCATCTCTTTACTTCAGTAGAGCTGCTTGGAAGCAGTCATTTGTTTCTCAGGGACACACAGGGACAAATCAGTGGAACTAGTTTTTGCAATCCGCAACCTTCAGGTTCCTCATGAATAGATGGGCGGCCAACTTTTGCCTGTGGCATCTTATAAGAAAAAATGTTCAAACAGAATTGGCATAGATAAAAAGCCTTTGCACACAGTGCAATACAAATATCTGTGATGGTTTAATATGATTAAAAGGGTCATGAAAAAGTAAATTTAACCATTACAATAAAAACATACTGCAAGTTTCATGCCTCAAAACTAACTCCCCACTTTAAAATATTTTTTGAGTTAAAGGGGTCATATGATGCTTTTTTAAAGATCATTATTTTGTGTATTTAGTGTAACAGAATATGTTGACATGCTTTAATGTTCAAAAAACACATTATTTTTCAAATACTGTACATTATTGTAGGTCCTATATGCCCCGCCTCTCTCAAACACTTCGTTTTCTACAAAGTCCCTCCTTCCGACAAGATTGGCCAGCTGACCCAGTGCATTGTGATTGGCCGAACACCGCAACCACTCGTCGGAAATGTAACGCCCCTTACCATAATCGTGAGCTTCATCTTTCAAAATAAATGTAAAGACAGAGCCCGAAAGGGGAACAGAGTCTCGTGACAGACACAGTGATGAATATGTGTTTGCAGCACACAAGCCACGGTTAAGACAGCTGACTCCACTGTGATGTGACTCTCTCTCTCTCTCTCCCCCGCTCGCACGCGCACGCACGCACGCACACACACATACACACACCGCTCTCTCTCGCTCGCGTGTGCGCGCACACACACACACACACACAATGCGCAAGTGAGGTAGATATGTGGGGGCGTGTTAGAACGAGTCGTTTTAGGGGGGCGTGGCAGAGTCTTAACTTTGATAAAGAATATCTCTTTGGTTTTGAGACTTTAGTCTTTGCAACTTCAGGGATCTTATCTATGTACAATCAGCTTGTAACACTTCAAAGAGAAAGGAAAACTTGAAATCGCATCATATGACCCCTTTAAGAGTTTTTGTTTTCCACTCTTCTGAAACACTAGGATTTGAAATTGCCCCATTTGTGACATTATGATTTTCCTCTGTTCACCAATGGATGTAGACAACCAGCACCTCTAAAAACTGCATATCCTTCCAAAAGATCAAACTATTAGAAATGCATAGTCAAAGTTTATTTTTAACAACATACCTGAGCGACTGAATGCGAATGTTTTCATTGATCTCTTTTTACAAAAAAATGTTGATGCAATAAAACTAGAATCATATGCTAACCTCAAGAAGCACAATATAAAGATCTGAAAATGCATTTAATTTTTAAAGTAGACTGAAATTAGGTAAATTAAGACACTTTTTGCCATTGAGATGAGTGGGAAAATGGCCCAATTATCCGGAATTAACCATATCTCCTTACTCCAAATGTGTGCAAACAAATAAACTGTGTATTTAAAACTGACTTAAATTACATAAGAATGGTGAATAATCTTGAAAAGAAAGCAAAAGAGAAAGAAACTTCAGGGACATGGTGGTGTAAAAACTCGCCATTTTTAACCACGCAAAAATAAAGCACAATTATTGTTTGTGTTGTGATAGCATTGAGATATTTTAAGTGAGAGTTATTTTCTTCCATGAGCCCAAGAGGACCTCTTGTCACAGGGCCCGGGACAACATTACCGGATGTCCCCCTGACAACGGACATGAATATATTAGTGACTTGAAGTGTTATTGAAAGCTTGGCACGTAATGGAAACATGACTAGAAAACTTATATTACCAGGAAATAGCTGTCAGAAGCATTACCAAAGATGGCTACCAAAAAGGTTGTGTGCAATCCAGAAATAAAATCTTCAATCAGAGATGGAGACAGAGAAGTTAATTTGGACAATTTAGCCTTCTCTTACAACTTTTCTCTTTATTAATCCCTTTCTTTTGGGAAATATTTTCTAGATTTCTGTCATAAAATCGCATAACTTATTGGCTCATAATGTCAAGAGGGGCCCCTGACCTTGTCTGTCTTGTCTTTACAACCCTCATGTCCCATATGCCTGTGGCTGTCTGGCCATTGCATAGCAGTGTGCTGCACAATACAATACAAAGACAATAGCAAGCCGTGACAAACTAGACTTTCTAATACCACAGTTTTATTTATTCCCAAGCCTTTAACATCTAAGGTTAGCGACTACATGACTCCCGTAGTTTTGGGTCATTTAAGAACTATGGAGATTTGTTGCTATGCCTTGCTATACTCTGATTTTACAATGTAAAGTCTCCTCTACACAATGCTAGTCTGTGTCTGGGGGAGGAGATCAACGCAGAGCTATGACAAAGTTAAGAGTAAGGCTGCTCCTTTTGTCCTTCACACTCGGAGGAGCTTGAAGAACTCCTCGTCTTCATGCTCCATTCACCAGCTGACTTCTAGAGCTGGCCTCCCCTGACTGAGCCACAAACACACCGCCGCTCACCTCATTATAAGTGCACATAGCACACCTTCCACTGAGACCAAATGCCTTTTGTGTTAGAGCATCTAAACATTGCGGTTACATTATTCCAGCATACAAAATCGTGTTAAATGCAATGCTAATTTTAATCATTATTTAAAGGGGTCCTATTATGCTCTTTTACAAAGTCTTGATTTTGTTTTGGGGGTGTACTAGAACAGGCTCGCATACTAGGTTGTTCGAAAAACACATTATTTTTCACATATTTTACATTATTACAACCCCTCTCTCCCCAGTCTGGCATGAACGGCTCGAATAGTTCCTGTATCAAATGAAGGTCCGCCTTCTGAAATACGAAATGTGCTGTGATTGGTTAGCTGGGCCAGTGTGTTTTGTGATTGGCAGCACTCGGCGCCTGGTCGGGAAATGTCATGCCCCTTACCATAGCCGACTGCTGGCTTCAGTGTAAACATTGCATCAAAATCAAATCAATTTGAGCGCGATTTAAACCCGGATGATTGTAACCACTCTAAGTTCGTCTGCCTTGGGAAAGCCAGCACGTCGCCAACATAGTGATAACACTTGTTGCCTTTTCTAGTCCAGCTCAACCAGGTCTCATCCCATTCGTTGATATTTGTAATATCACAAATCCCGGAAAATATGCGTTGTAGTCCAAACGAGACGTTCGTTGTAGTTTTTGAAGAGTTATTTCTGTTGAATAAAATATCTCCTTTATAACTTTGCAGATCTTTTTTATGCTCAAACAGCAACATTACAGACTAACTAAAGTTGAAAAAGTGAGAAAGCATAATAGGACGGACCCCTTTAAATATAATTTTAATGACATTCATTTGTGCATGCATTACACACTTGCACAATTTTTTCTGGTCTACATTATATCAATGTGTGCTAGATGGACACTTGTCTCGATGTTTTTTCAGCACCTTATGCCATGATCGCCATGACATGTATTTTTAAAATAATTTTAATATGTTCCTTGAGGTTTACTTATGATGTTAAAAAAGTTTTTTTTTTTGCACAAAAAAAATTTGGAAACATTTTTATTTTCAACCCTCATTCTGACCTTCTGTCTAAAACTGCCTGTTTTAAGGAGCGGGTCCTTTAAGGCTTGCCAGTAATCAGACACTGTTATGACTGGCTAAAGTCACTGCATAGGAAACCGTATCAATGGCCCCCTCGCTAATGCATGTGAGTGTTTTGACAACATGAAAATAAACTGTAATTTCCAGACAAAGCATTATGAAATCATTTACTTATGGTTTGTGATAAGCTGCAGTCAGATCTAGTACCGCTTCATCTTACAATAAATGTTTCTTTGTAAACTCTCCATGACACTGTGCCTCGTTTACAAAACAAAATACTCTGAACAATCCTTAGACATGATACGGGGTGCCATTAAAAATAAACTATCCATTGTTCCTTACGCTGGGATCCTTCTGATATCTGTACAAAGATGCGAACGAGCCGTTTAAACCAAACACGTCAAAGCGAAAGCTCTTTCACTCAATTTGTCATATTGACGACAGACTCAAGCACGTGGACTGTGTCAGAAAGCCAACGTGCATCTGTATACCTTATCCAGTGTAGACAAGATAACGGCAGTGATTGTAATTTTTATTTGCTTTTGACACGACGCGACATTCAGCGTAATCAAGTGTCAAGCCATTAAGTGGCTGAACGCCAGTGGGAGGGACCTATGGTGAGAAGATGACTATTCGTCAATGCTTTGTTCTGGAGGCAGTGTTTATACAAATGTTTGTGCCTGGGTGACGTCATCTTGCACCATAGAACCAAAACGAGCTGTTTTTGGAGCTTGAATAAATGCGTTGTTTATAATGAGGAGGATGTTTTAAGCTATGAAACTTGCAGAATGTTTTAATGGTACAAAGACCTCTTAAATGCCAAAAGATCAATGCAAATTTGATTTCTCATGTCATGACCCCTTTAAGACGTCATAAGCGAATGGCCCATTTATATAGACTAAATATTTTTTTGTGCAATGTTATATCTTAATGCTCTATTATAGTGGTCAAACGATACAATTTATTGAGGCATTATCCGATGCAGAGAATGGGGTGGCCGATAAAATAGTGATATGTATGTGATGAGAACTAAATGAGATATATGTCACCCTGGACCACAAAACCAGTCTTAAGTTGCACGGGGATTTTTGTAGCAAAAGCCAAAAATACATTGCACGAGTCAAAATTATAGATTCTTTTATGCCAAAAATCATTAGGAAAGATCATGTTCCATGAAGATATTTTGTAATTTTCCTACCATAAATATATCAAAATTTAATTTTTGATTAGTAATATGCATTGCTAAGAACTTCATTTGGACAACTTTAAAGGCGATTTTCTCAATATTTTGCATGCTAAGATTCCAGATTTTCAAATAGTTGTATCTCAGTCGAATATTGTCCTATCCTAACAAACCACACATCAATGGAAAGCGTATTTATTCACCTTTCAGATGATGTATAAATCTAAATTTTGAAAAATTTACACTTAAGACTGGTTTTGTGGTCCAGGGTCAAATATGCTGAAATTACACAAAGATTTTAACACAATATTTACTTGATATTTACAGGTATACTGCAAACATTTGATATTAGAAAATAAATTATCCAATAACAAGGCTAATTATAAAAGAATCTTAATGCTTCTGTCTAAGCCAAACTTACGATAATCTCAAAATGGCCAATTGTCTTCCGATATAGAATTTCAAATTCAACTTCATGTCAGTCCAAACTCATATGACTTCCTTTCTTTTGTGGAACACCATCTGCTGTTAAGTTCCACAAAAGCCATAAAAGCATCATAAACGTAGTCCATGTGTGCGGTATTTTATATCGGAAGTCATAGAATAGCTTTGTATGAGTCACAAGCTAAAATTTAAGTCATTATTCATTGAAAGTGACATGGTGACAGCCATGGTCACCATTCACTTTCATTGTATGGCAATGTGCACACGCTACCAAACATCTCATTTTAGTTTTTTATGGAAAGGGTGAATAAAAAATGACCAAATAAAATTTTTTAAGTGAAATATTCCTTAAAGGTTAACTGTCTTAACCTCAACAAGCATTAACCTGAGTGGGACCCATTGTAGTATATAGTGCAATACTTACAAATAGTGTTGTGTGTGTGTGTTTGTGGGGGTACTAAAGAACCCATACCTGGAGGGCTTTCATTTTCTGGTTGTTCTGGTTGGAGAGGGTCTGGAAGCGGGCCAGCTCTGCCTGGCTGTAGACGCTGCGGTGTTTGAAGTATTTTAGCATGGCTTTGTGCATCCTCTTCTGCAACAAAGAAAGCTGGGGAAGAAAGAAAGAAAGAGAGAGAGAGAGAGAGAGAGAGAAAGAGAGGGGGAATTGGTAAGGCAGGAGAGGAAATTAATGGCAGTGTTCAAGAAGAATGATGGAGGGGAATAGAGAAAGCAGTCAATAGCCCATTCTGCAGTACACGGGGCTGACAGGAATTTCACAGTCTCTTGCTCTCCCTGCCCACTCATGTGCACTGGGCGGAAACCAGTCACATCTGGCTGCCAGGATGGGGGGTTAATTTTCTCTAAATGCTTCAGCGGTTTTGTTCTAGCTCAGGCAAACTCGGTGACTGCAAAGCTGATGAGCAAAATATTTCGACTTCACTCACTTTAACTTTATACCAATCCCCTCCAGACATATTTTACACATACACAAAAAGTCATGAACCCCCTGCCGCAACAAGAAATTATTCCGAGTATACTGGAAAAAAAAAATGAGAGAGAGAGTGTGTGTGTGTGTGAGAGAGAGAGAGATTAGAGAAGAAAGAAAGAAAGAAAGCATGCTGCTCTCTTTATTATTTGTGCAATTTTCCAGAAAAAAAGCGGGTTTCAATTCAGAGGGATGTCGTCCCTTGTTTCGCCCCATCTCTTTCTCTCTTCCTTTAAGCTTATCATTGCTTGGCAATGTGTTCTTCGGAGCATGAAAAAACTAAAGCGAATTAGCTCAGCCTTTAACTGAACGAGTACAAAAAATGTCCTTTATGGAGCTGTGTCAAAACCTGTACTATCCTATTAATGCTACAAGTAACAATAGTTACAATATACTGTAGAAAGATGTCGTCAAAAAACAATGATATCAGAAAGGCGCCAGGCAAAGTGATGCAAGATACTATCCTCATCCGTGCCTTCTGTTGTCTGTACAGTATCTGTGCTCGTGTAACAAATCGACTTGGCATGTCCGAGATGTATACAATGCAATTTCTGTTAGGCCTTGAGGGTTACCTTTTGTTTACAAGCACTAAAGTGATTCTGGAAGTTTAGGTAGGCCCATGGGTTGTACATTTAACCACTGCAAGGGGGCGCTCTAGCTCTCCTATTCAGACTAAACTGGCAAATCCAACTAAACTGGCAAAATGCCACTGTATATGTTAACCTGTATTATATATAAAAGTGATCTATTGAGATTAAGGACATAGTTGCAGTGTCCATTATAGCAGTTATGCTACACCCTTAAAAATAATGGTGCTTCACGATGCCATAGAAGAACCTTTTTGTCTAAATGGTTCCATAATAAACCTCAACATCTGAAGAACCTTTCTGTTTCTCAAAAGGTTTTTTGTGGCGAAAGAAGGTTCTTCAGATTATAAAAAGGTAAGAAAGAGATGGTTCTTTAAAGAACCTTTGACTGAATCGTTCTTTGTGGAACCAAAAATCAAGCGTAGCGTTAGTTCTGGCAGGTCACGTTAGTCAAGCTCGCATCAGCTGACTATCAGCTGATCCCCATCAACCTATGGGAATACGACACCTATCTAAGCATTCATATATAAGGTCCCTCAGTATCATCAGCAGTTTTCGCATTGCTTAATAACTAATTACCCTCCTCCATCCCCAACTCCTCCTCTGTCAGTCGGGATTCAGCCTTCTGATTCTCCTTTGAATCAGACTAATTCTAAAATGTGTACATAATTATTGAACTTTAACAATATCTGCAATACATTTATGTTGGTTCTGTTCTGTTTACCCTGGGGGGTTATCGCTGCTCTCCCTGCTCTCATCCATGCTAGGCTGCATGTATGCGCAGGGAGTTCTTGCCCAGAACAGAACCATACCGCCAATCCAAACTGTATGCTAATTGTCAATCATATTTGACGATAGTGGTCCTGACAGAAATGGTTCTTCTATGGCATCGCTTGAAGAACCTTTTGAAGCACCTTTATTTTTAAGAGTGTAGACATATATTTGGAGCTACAGTCAACTGATAAAAGTGCAAAACAAAGAAGTTTGTCAGCATAACAAAGGATGCCACATAAATAATTAAACGCCATCTGTCACTAGCACATTAATGCAGATATTTAGACTCCTTTTATAGCATCTTTTAGCTGTAAAAAAGAATGAAAAATATAATAGTTAAATGGTAACTGAAATTTAACTAGCACTTTAGTACCAAATAAAACAGCATAAAATGTTAAATATAATGGTAATTATGAAAACAACTGTATTAGGTGTCATTGCATTGTACTCTACTCTCATTGACCTATTTAATTCCCACTTTTAATTATACATCATATATTATATTTTTGCCATATAATTAAAAGTGGGAAGGTCAGTAAGTATTATTATACTTTTTTGTTTTCTGTTGTGGATTTTTTTTTTTTAAATCTTACTTGGGCAATGAAGTAAATTCTAATTCTAATGCATATAAATTGCATACTGAACTAATCAGATTTAGCAAGTCGTCACTAATATATAGCCACATAAACAGTGCTTGGAAACACCATCTGAATCTATCTCTCTTGATAAATGTGGTGCCACAATTTCATACATATGGAGCAGGTGTTTTAATAGACATCTGATAAATATACATTCTATTCAAACTATTCCTAATAGACACCTTATACATACTCGGCATGGCTTGGAAAACCTTTCAAAATGGTAAGCCGTCATAAGAATCCATATTAAATTGAGCACAGCTCGGCCTATGTGTCCTTACAGGTACGTATGGAACTATAAGAAGAGCTTGTCGTAAACCTCTAAGAAATGCAACTACATTCGCTCTGAAGGAGAGAAAGCCGTACCAGACTTAAAATAAACAACAAACTGTAAAAAGGCTGAATACTGAGTAAAAGAAAATCAGGCTTTGATCATGAGCGTGGAGAATCCCGTCCACAGGATTTGCCTTTTGCATGCATTTCTCACTTGATAACATTCATGTAGTTAGATGAGGAGTTGTACGAGTATTAGTCTTTTGGGGAACAAACAATGTGTCTTGCTCTTCAGAAGAGTTTTACCATCAGCGCTAGAATAAAAAATCATATTAAAATGATCTACAGCTCAAAAAAATGCTATATAAAGTGACAGATTATGTCTAGTTCAGTATAACTAGTGATAATCTCAAGCAACAACAATGGTACTATTACAATAACGATCTGTGGACTAATGTCACAAAGACACAAAGCTTTAAAGCTGAATTTTTTTTGGTTTAAATAGTTTCTCCAATCTTAGCTTAATATGCAGACAACTGTAAGTCAGTCATTTATAGGTCGATTGTTACAAAAAATATAAAATATAAAGTAAAAAAAAATATTGGATTTATTCATGCTAAATATATAAACCTGGGTATTGTGTATTTAAAGGGGTCCTATTATGCTTTTTCACTTTTTGAATTTTCGTCAGTGTGTAGTGTGTATTTTTGGGCATAAAAAAGATCTACAAAGGCTCATTTGGACTACAGCTTTGTTTTCCGGGGTTTTTGTGACGTCACAAAGCGGTCCATTAGAATATCATTAAAATAAATCCTGCCTACGTATATTCGAATTGTTGGGGGGTGGGGAGGGATGAGGTCGTAGTTAGAGCGCTTGGTTGAGTGAGTGCATCAGACGAGATGATGAAGAAGAAGAGCTGCTGTAGCCTCAAGTTTTCGCAAGTTATTACACATGCACCTGAATAATTATGTATGTAAATATGTATGTTACAATTATGCAAATGTTTTTATAAATTGCTGACAGTACAATACTGGACAATGATGTAATCTGCAGAATTTACACTTCAATTATGAGACTATGGTATAAATAAATTCAACTATATAACAGTTTCACTGCAATTTATCTTATAATGTTAGAATTAAAGAACAATAAACATAATACATATTACCGTTGCACTTATCTGTACAAAGTAAATGCAGTTATTTTTAAGCGGTTGTTGACATCCTAACTAAAACGTGATTTAGCCAAAAAACAACAACAATAACGTTACCACTCTAATACGTCTTGCAATATCTGTGCGTGCAAAGGTTCTGCGCGATCCTCTTGTTCAATATTATCGGGGTCTCAATCCGGCTCAAATTGATATTATCGGAATCGCAATATTGAAGCCATCTTTAACTATACCGGAGCAGATGGATGCAAGGGGCGTGGCAGTACTGAAACACCGTCTAAGCTGTTCACCAATCACAACGCACTGGGACAGCTAACCAATCACAACACATTTCGTTTTTCAGAAGGTGGGCCTTCATCAAACATGGAACTAATCGAGCCGTTTGTGCCAGGCTGGGGAGAAAGGTATTGTAATAATGTAAATTATGTGAAAAATAATGCGTTTTTCGAACCACCAAGCATGAGAGCATGTTCTAGTACACCCCCAAAACAAAATCAAGACTTTGTAAAAGAGCATAATAGAACCCCTTTAAAATACATTAACTTTATTAGTATTATTACGGAAATCTTACCGGTTCCATTAATGTATGACTGACAAATATGCATCACATTAAGTTTATTCGTTTTCTAGTTAGGTTAAAACTGTGCAATCCAAAATGATGGAAATTTTATATGCAATTAAAATACTTAAGCCTAAATATTTTTGAGTACACTAACTCCTGTTTGTGCATCACAACGCACTGGGACAGCTAACCAATCACAACACATTTCGTTTTTCAGAAGGTGGGCCTTCATCAAACATGGAACTAATCGAGCCGTTTGTGCCAGGCTGGGGAGAAAGGTATTGTAATAATGTAAATTATGTGAAAAATAATGCGTTTTTCGAACCACCAAGCATGAGAGCATGTTCTAGTACACCCCCAAAACAAAATCAAGACTTTGTAAAAGAGCATAATAGAACCCCTTTAAAATACATTAACTTTATTAGTATTATTACGGAAATCTTACCGGTTCCATTAATGTATGACTGACAAATATGCATCACATTAAGTTTATTCGTTTTCTAGTTAGGTTAAAACTGTGCAATCCAAAATGATGGAAATTTTATATGCAATTAAAATACTTAAGCCTAAATATTTTTGAGTACACTAACTCCTGTTTGTGCATCGCAACCAAACTATGTTCCACCAATGGCAAATGAGGGAAACCTGTTCGAACACAGTCATTATTTTTTACAGTTCTTTTACATGGCATAGAAATTACACTCTTCAGCAGCACCTGAAAACATCTTTACATTGAGAAGTGTTTGTTGCTATACCAAAATACACAGCCAAAAACACACTTATATAATGTTGTTTGGAAATGACTAATGCACTGCACTCCATAGGCACACACTGCACTTGCACACTGCAGCGTTGATGAATACCAGCAAAACCACCCATCCTTTAGTGATGGACGTACATGTCATATTAGCATTTTCCCAAACGTTCCTGAGATGCTGGTTTTTGAGAGCGTTTGCATCTGCTATGTGACTGTTTCCACTCGCTGCTATGTGAGATGGAATAAACACACATGCACGCCAGAGCAACGCTGTCATGAAGCTTATCTCATCGTGATTAGATTACTGCAGTGGCCTCCTAGCTGACTGCCCAACTAAAACCAACCACCTATGACAGGTTGCATGGAGTATGCGATCATACGCTAGTCCGCGCAGACCTCTCTCTCATCACTATTTTGCATGCCTGCTGTCTATCTCTGATGACAAAGATAGACAACCACATCATTCACACATGCAGAAAATAGCCTTGATGTATACACATACGGAAGGAGCCGCAGGGAAAGAAATGTGTTTGTGGTAATGAGAGTTACCTGTTTGTGATCTTGGATGTAGGCCTCTGCTCTGTTTCTTCTGTCAAAAACATAAACGGCTTCTTGTCTGGCAATCATCAGAGCTTTCTGCAGCTCGTGATACTCCTGCGCTAACTTCAGATTGTCTTTTAGGGCTTCCTGTAGATTAACCTGGAACAGATTTGCACAGGATTCTCTCCATCAGCTTCTGAGAGACTCTAACATGTATAATGAAAAGATACCATTAAAAAGTAGGACAAAGAATGAACAGTGAGCCCTATTTGAAAAGAATATTTCACCCAAAAATTGTAAACACATTTGTGTCATCCCAAACCTGCATGGCTTTCAAATTATTTCAAAAAGATATTCAAGAAGAGACGTACTTTTCCATGCAATTACAATGAATCAGGGCTGAAGCTTCATTAAAGGACACAAAAGCTGATCAAATGACTTATGCACTATATTTCAACTGTTCTGAAGTCTGAAGAGGAACAGACCAAAATTTAAGTTATTCACTGATAATCTTGCCCTCCAGTGGGCTGTTAACCTCTGTCACCGGATCATTGAGTCAGTGAGTTGAACTTGAGAACTGGATTAGTCCGATTCATGAACAAATCATTCAGTTTTGTGAACTGGATCAACTGATTCATTAAAAACATCTGATTCAAAAGAACGATTAGATCATGACTAGACATTGCAACTTTCATCATGAACTCACATGAATGTACCAAAGGCACTTAAATGTAGGTTTATTTCCCACTTTTATGATACACAAAAAAAAATGAAAATGTTTTGAAACTAAGTCTTTCTGCTTCAAAATTTCACTTTTAATTCAATGCGTTACTTGCTGTTTCTTTGTGATTAATTTTGAAATTTACTAGCAATGAATATTGTTTCTACACCATTTTTTACTACACCATTTGCAGTACTTCTGCATTATTTGAACAACATGCAAACTGATTTCCCATTTACTTTTGGCAGACCTTTTATCCAAAGCGACTACTTCAATCATTTTATCAATATGCACAATCCCACAACCTTCACATTTCATTTTGGGACCAGTTGGTGGACAGTAATTGCAAAAACGGCAATAAAATTACAGTAGTTTGGTGAAAGACAGCATTTGAATTAGGTTTTATTTTTAGCTTTCATTTATTTTAATATTTATTATAATTGTAACAATTTTGCTGTGCTTTTATCATTTTCATTAGTATTTATTTTTAAATATCACTAATTAGTTTTAATTATTTTTATTTCCGTTTTAGTTTTTATTGATTTATTTCAAGTAATTTTAGGTCTTCAACTTACCTACTCAAGGCAACATTTTATTTATATTTATATTAGATATATATATATATATATATATATATATATATATATATTCTATATTATATATATATCTTTTTTTATCTTTATTTCA